AAAAGAGTGGGGAGTAAGAAGAAGAAGAGTGGGGAGTAAGAAGAAGAAGAGGGGGTAAGAAGAAGGGTGAGTATGAAGAAATGGGGGGAGTAAGAAGAAGAAGGGGGAGGAAGAGGAAGAAGAAGAAGGGGGGGTAAGAAGAAGAAGGGGGAGCAATAAGAAGAAGGGGGTTAAGAAGAACAGGTGGGGGAGTAAGACGACCAAGGGGGGAAGTATGAAGAACACAGGGAGGAGGGGGGTAAGACGAACACAGGGGGTGTGAGGAGAACACATAGAGGGAGGAGTGAGAAGAGCACAGGGAGGGTGGGTGAGTGTGAGAAGAGACCGCTAGGGGAGGGTGGGGGAGAGGAGAGACCACTAAGGTGCAGGGGAGAGCTCTACGGGACAGAAGGGGCAGCTCTATAGGACAGGGGCCAAGACAGGGAGCTCTTTCACACTACGCGCGCGCACACACACACAATGCATCCCTATACATACACAGAAACACAACATGCTTCCCTTACACACAGAGAAACACACAATGCATCCATTACACACACACACACAATGCAACCCTTACACACAACCAGAAACACATAATACATCCCTTATACACAAATACACACTGCTTCCACTACACACAAACACACTACATCACCTGCACAAACTGGTAACCCTATACACTACATACTATAAGCACACATATTAGATCCTCTACAATAACACATAACACATCCCCTACACACTCCACTCCCTGTGAGCGAACTCATGGGTGGGTGGAACTTATGAGTGGGCCTTATGGGCATACTCACCGTCAGGCCCTGGGGCCCAGACCTTGAGCTGTGTAAGGGGCCCCAAAAAATGGAGCTGCTTCCAATTCTCCCAGAACATTGAATTTTGTGACCACAGCTGCAAACAGCCTCCAGAGATCCTGTTCTACACCAGACCAGTGGAGCCAAACTGCAGCCCATCATCACCCTCATCTGCTTGTAAGTAGGCAATCTAGTATATTATTAGTGACACTAATCTATAATGTACCTCACATTAAAGGGACACTATAGCTTAATGAAGTGGTTCTGGTGTCTATAGCTGGTCCCTGCAGGCTTTTTAATGTAAACACACACTGTGTGCAGCACTGGCGTTAGTTCATATGGGTGGGGCATTGTGATGTCACATGGGGGGCAGCAAATTTTTATTTTGTCTAGGGCGGCAAAAATCCTTGCACCGGCACTGATCCTGGGCAGGTGCACCAGTCTACTGGTGACCCATAGGAGGGGAGTGCACTGATTGCACTGCACTCTCCTCCTGTCCAGCCCCATCTTTACCGCAGTGCAAGTGCCCTCTGCCCCTAATTTACAGTGGCTGACACTCACAACAAGCAGTGCCTGGAGCCGTGAAGGAGCGGGTATGGCAAAGAGCTACTGATTAGCATAACATCAATATCCGTTATAAAACCAGGAAAAGGTGGGCATGGATGGTGAACTGATTTGGTGGTGCAATGGGCCACTTGACTGGTTTTGCCCCCCAGGCCTAAGGCTGCCAGCCCTCCCCTGGGAGCACTAGTGGCTGTGACCTCCAAGTTGGGGGAGTGGCTCCAGAAGATTCCCGGTGGGACATCTGATATCACTGTTCAGAAGAGTGCAGTTCTAGGAGGAGACCTCTGGTAGAGGACACAATAATTAGAAATACACAAATATATCACCAGGATGGATGAGAAAGTCAGTGTATATATGTGTATATGTGTGTATGTGTGTATGTATATGTGTGTGTGTGCATTTGAAGTGGCAAGCAAATTTCAGACCTGGCTAGTAACGACCTGACATGTTTAACTCCTGTCTACATGTATCCGTGAATGTGTCTGTATGTATGAATGTGTATATGTGTATCTGTGAGTATGTCTTCATGTATACATATAAATATGTTTCTAAATGTATGTATGTATTTGTGTGTCTTGATGTAGATGTCAATGAATGTACAACCATTTTGTGTCTGTAATTGTGTATATGTGAGTGTGTGTCTGTATATATGCATTTACATATTTATATATGTGCCTTAGTGCTGTCTTTCTGGCTGCCTGTTCCAGCCACTGGTAGAATTTCATAGTGTGAGCCATATCCACAATCCGCAGGTAGTACATTCCATGGAGAGCTTTATCTTGCCATTGAACCTCATGCTTTTCTCCATCCAAAATCTGTTAGTGTTTTGGTTTTTCCTTTAGCAGTTCATCTTTGGGAGTCGTGTTCATGATGGTGTACCATCTGTGGTTGCTGGAGTTTGGGTTGAATCCTTTATTTATAGTGAATAGTTTCTTTGTCGATATACATGGCATCCAGCTCTTCTCTTGGCCAGGTTACTATTCCAGCTGGATACCTGATGAATGGTAGGGCATATGTAATGATAGTGTGGATCCTGTTCTTGGATCCTGATGCTGAGTTGGGATTTCCGGACTTATCTGACTCTTTGAAGGTATGGATATTGCTATCCTCCTTGCCTCTTCCTCTGGTTGCCATATGTACCTGGTACTTGTAGCATTTCTCTACATCTCTTATTTGGCCTTCTGGCACTTCAACTCTTGATCATCATTCCTCTTTTTGCTATCATCCACCCACGCTTATCAAGTCTGAATGACATTCCAATGTCCTTGTATATCCTAGTTAGGAGGAGTGGATGTCCCGCTCACAATGACATACAGATTGATGTTGCCCATTTAGGGGAGGTGGCTCACAGTAGCTCCAGTTTTGAACCTGTATCCGTGTTCACTCTTCATGATTGATCGGTAGTTAGATTGTGTTGTTCCCATGTGAGGGGACTTCATGGCCAGTATTAGTCTGCTTTATGAAAGACAGTCAGTGTGAGAGGCCGTTGCTAGCAGCTAGTTACTTCGTGCTGCTTCAAGCAGTGTTGTTAGTTTCTTAATCCAAGCGGTATGGACCATGTCAGGTCCTGGTGCTGATCAAACTCTTCATGTGGGCTACTTGTTGTTGGATATCTCTTACTGTGATGGTAAATGGTTCCTGTTCTGGGAGCATGCAGTGGTCTGCTTTCATTTCTAGTAGCCACTGGGTCTTGTTATTAAGCGATGCTTCTTTATCCCGGATGTTCTTCCAGTACTGTTTAGTCTCAACTCTGGGTGGGTGTTTGCTGTTACTCTGCAGATGTGCATAGTCCGCACACTTTGGATGTTTTTTGGTAACCAGGCCATTTATTCTTTGTTTTTTTTTCTGGTGTATCTGGTCAATCAATGATTGGCTATTTCCAGAGACTCTGGTATGGAATAGCCTTGTATTCCTCAGTAGCCAGGATCTATCATTGATCTTTCCATCTCTGTGAGTTTGCTCCAGCTTTCTAACTTCTTTGTGTTGACTTTATCTTGGCTTTGAGTTTTAGTTTTCATTGTGGGCATTGTATTTCTTTCAACCTGGTCGTGTAGTCAAGCCTTTGGAGAACCACTAATTTGTGGAATATATGTTCCTATTGATCTCTGTGATACTTGTGATTGGGATTGTAGATAGTGCCTCACTAATCATTGCTAGAATGTGAAAAATGAGAAACAAATATGACATGAACTGCTGCTGGGTATCTCAATGTTAGGGGCCTGACTAAAAGGCACCATTTCCTTTTAGCTTCCACTTCTATATTAATGTGTCACTTAATTTCTTCTGATTGTGTGGCATTGTAGAATACATCAGCAATACATCAGCACTTAATGAATAATAACCACTGCTCTCATAAATGGGAAGCAATTCTGACAGTGAACATGCCTCTCCTGTTCTCACTTGCTATTGCATTATTGAGTGAGCTGTTTTGTCTAATATGCCAATGAGAGTCGGATAAATTCTGCTGAGTATGAGCAGCTCTTGTGATTCCAAATCCCTGTTTGTTCTGCTCAGTGCATTTTGCAAAAAGAGCAAAGTGTTCCTGTCCTAAACAACAAGCCATTAGCAGTGAATGAGGACGATGGGGTCTTATACAGAGCTGTGAGCTGCTCTTTTGGACTAAGAAGGCCATATTTCACGAACGTTGTGAAAAGAAGACAAGGAGTCAAGGTGAGAGGGTATATATTTAATATTTGTTCCAGATCATAGGTTCTCAAGCTGTGGTTCATGGAGACCAAGAATGCTTAAGAAGATCTTTCAAAGTAATATTTAGTAATTAGAAGATGGAAGTAGAGGGAACTTTGGGCTTCGTATTAAATCAATGTCACACTCCACAGTGTATGGAGTTGGATCTGGAAGGTCAACACTTTCTGTCAAGATTCTAAATTAGCTGTAATTTGGAGGCTACTTTCCATTTATAAGAATAGAGCTTTCATCTTGATTCTTGGATTCTGGATAACTAAAACCAAGCTGTCATTCAGCGTTGGGTGCACTACAACTCTCCTGCTTTTAAGTGAAAAAAGTAGAATGGGGGTGGTTACCTATCCTGATCTCTCTCCATTTTAGTTATAGGAGATTAAGTAAAGCAAGGTGCTTTGTCATTTAGGAGATTAAGTTGTAACAAAGATCTCTTACAAAATGCAAAAGTTTATATACATAGCTTGAGGGTATTTGGCTACACATAATTCTGCATTTTGTCATATGTAGTCTGAAAGTGTTGCATTTTATATTTAAATATTTAAAAGGCTAGAGGTGGGAAGCTGAAGAAACTAAATTTCTAGCTGATGCACCAAGGGAACAGTTGTACTCACTAGCTTACCAGTCCCAGTACACTTGGTGTAACAGACTGGCAAACCCTGGCACTGTTTAAGGGGACACTATAGTCACCTGAACAACTTCAGCTTAATAAGGTTGTTCAGGTGATAACTATAGCTCCCTGCAGCCTTTCTCGTGTAAACACTGTATTTTATGAGAAAATACAGTGTTTACATTGAAAGCTAGGAACACCTCCAGTTGCAGTCACTCAGAGTGAACCAGAGGGACTTCGGAGTTGATGGAGGCATAATATGCCTCCATCCACTCAGATCTGCTGTCAACAGAGCACAGGGCAGCACTGTGCACGGCATCCTGTGATTCAGTATCTCCTCCCTCTGCATGCAGACACTGAACTTTCCTCATAAAGATGCACTGATTCAATTCATCTCTATGAGGAGATGCTGATTGGCCAGGGCTGTGTTTGAATCATGTTGGCTCTGCCCCTGATCTGCCTCTTTGTCAGCCTCAGCCAATCCTATGGGGAAGCACTGTGATTGGATCAGGCTACCACATGTCAGCAGACTGCTTGTTTTTCTGAGTCTAACAGCATGCAGATTTACAGCTTCAGGCTTGAATACAGTAAGATTTTTACTATATATATGGAGGCATGAGGGGCCCAGGGGGGCTAGATGGTGGTGTTAACACTATAGGGTCAAGAATACATGTTTGTGTTCTTGACCCTATACTGATCCTTTAATATGTAAACTCCTCAAACATGTATTTCTCTGTTATGTTATATGTGACTGGAGAATAAAATATAAAATGTCAAAAACTATAAATAAAAAAACCAAATAAAAATACAAGGAAAAAAAATGAAGTAAAAAAAAAGCTAAATGCAACAAACAAGTATTTTTCATAAAGTCTGGTTAATTTGGGAATTCAGAATCAGATAACTGTTATCTATTAAACATTAAAGGAATCTAGGCGATCTCTAGTGTAAATATACATTTATGCATGTTAATAAATGTTTATACATAGCCTTATCCTTAAAACCACATACATGGGAATCATGTATGGTAACATACTTTACAAAATAAAGAATTTCACATTTTCATTGATCTTCTATTCTCTTGTTTTCAACGTTTTGTATTTTTCTAGAAAGTCTTTGTTCATTAAAGTAGGTGGAGGAGTCTGATGTGGGATTGCCCTCTTTAATGAAATACTTCACCATGGTTGTCTGCCTTCCCACCTCAAAGTCACTAAATTAGATTCCAGAGCTTGGAGGAGGTAAAGCTACACAAATATATCTAGAAACCAAGCAATATTGTATGTAGTGTATCTCCGCCTGCTCTGAAACAGGTTAACGCTAACTGGTTGGAATCCAAGAACTGAGGTGAGCAGTGAGTGTTTAGAATTTGCCTGCCATGGGATGTGTGAATAGATCAGTGGTTCTTAAACTTTTTGACAGGGATCCAATTATACTTTTCCCAACATAAAAAAGTGTTCTTAATTGGCTTTAGGAAGGCAGTGTCACTGCTGATCACAATATATTGTTTGCAGTTACCTGAGCACTGATCATATGATATGCCGGTGCGATCCATTGGGGACCAGCTGAAATAGGATGAAGATGAAGATAAAGGTCTGATTTTTGGTGCTGGCCCAGTATTTAAGAATCAGTTATTTCATTTATCCCTTAGCAGTTTCTGATGGGTGATGATAATTAATTGCTATAGGTGTAGCAGTATTTCTCATATGTATGCACACATACTGAAGTTGATGTGTTTATGTTTTTTAAGTTTATTAGTTAATTTCATGTGAAACAGGAGTTTGACAAATTATTATTTGCAGGCTGTTTTAATCAGGAATCAGGAGTAGGACCAGTTCTTTTCAGAGATTAATTAGTGACGTTGTGAGTACCTTGGAAAGCATAGTAATAGTTCATGTTTTTTTTGTTTTGTTTTTTTACTGGTAAATCAAAGATTAGAGATGAGAACATAATCATAGATGTTTACAAGTAGGGAGATAGAACAGTGGTCAAACATCTGGGATCTAAACTTATCTAAAAATGCTAATTTAGACCTTCATGTCTTAAAATCTAAAGACAGAATAAACACTGATTGCAGTTTTGCTGAATCCAGTCGAAAAAGAATGAACTTAGGAATTACTATAAGGAAAACTTAAAACTATAATGCATGTATAATACAAGGACCCATCGTAGGAAGCAATTATGGTCTTTTATGGAACGTATAAAAACCCTCATCTAGGATATTTGATATGATTCCGGAGACATTACCTCCAGTAATACATAAACTAGATTAACAGAAAGAGTTACAGATCCATAGGACTGCTGAGGTGGCAGAAACGAACACAATGGGCATGCAAATGTAGAATAGGTAAACAGCTGCAAAAACAAAGCAATTTGTTGTAAAAAAAACAACAAAAAAACACTATTCAGTGTGTTCATGCATTGAGAGGTCTATAATCAATTATGACTAAACTCCAAATTGACTTCTTGTACATACCAGATATCTCATGTTTATTAAATATATTCTTAATAAAAAAAAAATTAAAACTCACTTTTTTATTTTTAAAATAATTTTCATTTTGATTTATTTTTAATTAAAATGTTTTAATTATGCGATTTCCTATCATTCAGTTTCAATAGGCCCTATTTTACCTTATGTAGCCTTCGTTACAAAAATCTCACTAATGTTCACCATGATTATTTAGAATGTTCCACTGCGGTTTTGGTCATCCCTAACTTACTGCATGTAGTAGGAGTGTATGAGTGACAGCTGACAGCAGCCCCATCTGTTGCCTTATCTATCTCAAATACAGATTGACTACAAGTGCAAATATATAAAGACTGTAATGGCAACATAGGCAAATTAATTTCCCAGAAATATTATGGAAGTAAAAGAAAATAAGAATATTGCTGCATAAGTACTGTTTTTTCTAATCTCTATTTTTAAAACTTGATGTAAGTATGTGGATTACAAATTGATGATATACATTTGTGAAAGTCACATTAGAGAACGACCTGCTTTAAAGATTCATCAAGTTTTGGAATATTTTAAACATTGGGGAATCAATGTCACGTTGCTGTAAGCACGGTCATGCAAAATCTCTGGAGTCGTATATAGATTTTTTTTTTTTTAGAAGAATCTAAATAAATGAGATTTTTCTGAATGGCAGTAGAAATTCACAAAACGGGGTTACTCAAAAGGAATAATAACATTTCCCCAAACACAGGTAAAATGTAATTTGTATTAATGAGTGTTTCCATGTAATCATTAATAATTATTGCATTTTAATGTTATCTGCCGTTCATTGTCAATCCGTAAATTATAAATGAAATATTGTGTTCAGTTTGCTATGGATTAAATGAAATGGAGTTTCCTTGTTTAGCTGTGATTTCATTATAATCCTGTATGAGGTGGGTTGTTACCTTGTGGCTGGGGATTGTAGGAGTTGGAATCCTACCACAAACAGAGTATCTCAACCTAACTTGTTCTCACTTAAAGGGTTAGTTCACGCATTGTAACCACAACATCCCACTGTAGTGGTTATGATGCCACGGATGCCCTGGCCCAGTTCCATGGTAATGGGGCAAATGCGTTAGCAACTGTTTGCCCTGCTGGGCTCCGAGGATCCTAGCTCCACTGCAGAAGCTGAAAGACGATCTAGTCGCCATTTATTGACTAAGAGCCACCAAAAATTGCACAGAATTGACATTAGCCAGCTAATGATGCCCACATGTAGGAACACCACCTATAAACTGAGGGTTTAAATGAAATGCTGCACATCCAGACTCCTGGCACCATAACTACTTCAAATCACTGATATGGTCATGGTGCTTGAAGTAACCCTTTAACATATACTGTAATGTAGGTTAATACTTCTCCAACACAATGAAGTTTAATTACGAAACACCAGACTGCAGTGAACTGAAAATCAAAAGACAACATTTAGGTTAAAAATAGCTGATTTTGAACAAATGTCTATAATTCAGCTGTGGCCACAGAACTTTTAGCTTAAAATGTGCTATTTGTTTTTCTATTCACTGCAGTTTGGTGTCTAATGACTAAACACCACTATACACATAAAGCTGTAAGTGCTAAGTATCTCTCAATTTTTGTTGTTTTTTTACAGTTTATAAAAGTGGCATTTTTCAATAGAAACCTGCATTTTTATTTTTCAATAAAAGCCTCTACTTGTCTAACTGGGCACTGTAACAGCTCCCCAACTGTCAATCAGACTCCCAGGGAGGTTTCCTTCCAATTCCGTTAGCTTTGCGAAGCTATTCCACAGAGCTCGCAGAATTGGCAGCAGCGCCAGCCTTCCTCACTTCTCAATGAACTGTACTTTAATTCGTTGAGACAAATATCAATGAGAAACCACGCTTATTGCATGCGTCGCGGCTCCAGCACTGGGACATCCCCATGAGAAACACAAAATAGTGAAAGAAAAAAAAAACATTTCCAATGGAGTGTTCCTTTAAAGATCACAAACTGTCTAGATTTTATCCATATCTATTTTTTTTTTTTTTTTGTAGGCTATGTTTCCAATCCTTTAAACACTGTATTCTATTGTAATTATACCTATACACACCATTACACATTATCTCAATGTAAAATGGGTGGGGATCCTACAACTGGCACATACATGTGAGCAACCTCTATAAAAGTTTTTCATTCTCACTAATGTCGATGCAGATTTTAGCACGGAGCAAGCCTGTTTAAAAGGTACAAGAGACACTAACCATGTAACCATTTAAAGACTCTGCAGTATGAATAGGAATTTATGTGTCAGGACTGAATAGGGATTAATGCTGTTTGTATCATGCGTCTTTTAATAGTGTCACTAATAATCTAAGGTCACCATAAATATGGCTGGCTCTGTTAGCCATACTTTTATGGTTTTGCACTGATTCTGCACTGATTTTGTTTATTTGAAAACTCTACACTGCTTAAATGTTTTAAAACTGTCAACAATGGATGTGACCGGTACACAAAGCTGCCTCAGCCACTTGGAGAGGAAGGTGATGACGTGTTCCATTGGAACATTGATGGTATATTTAAAAGATATTGAATACTGTAACACAGGGGTCAAGTCCTGGGGAAAAAAGTGTGGGAACTCACCCAAGATACCCGCCTCCCCCCCCCCCTTAAAAAAATAAAATTAAAAAAAATTACACTCCTATGCATATAGTGCAGTGCGTGTATAATGAATGTAGTGTGTTTGTAGCGAATGCAGTGTGAATAATAATTGTAGTGTATTTGTAGTGAGTGCAGAGTGTGTATAATGAATGCAGTGTGTTTTAGTGAGTGCAGAGTGTGTATAATGAATGTAGTGTATTTGTAGTGAGTGCAGTGTGTATAATAAATGTAGTGTATTTGTAGTGAGTGCAGTGTGTATAATAAGTGTAGTGTATTTGCAGTGAGTGCAGTGTGTATAATAAATGTAGTGTGTTTGTAGTGAGTGTAGTGTGTATAGTGAATGTAGTGTTTTTGTAGTGAGTGCAGAGTGTGTATAATGAATGCAGAGTGTGTATAATGAATTTAGTGTGTTTGTAGTAAGTGCAGAGTGTGTACAATGAATGCAGTGTATGTAGTGTGTTTGTAGTGAATGTAGAGTGTGTATAGTGAATGTAGTGTGTAGTTAGTGCAGAATGTGCATAATGAATGCAGAGTGTGTATAGTGAATGCAGAGGGTGTATAGTGAATGTAGTGTGTTTGTAGTGAGTGAAGAGTGTGTATAATGAATGCAGTGTGTGTGCGCGCTGGATGACGTGTGTGTGCGTGCTGGATGACGTGTGTGTGCGTGCTGGATGATGTGTGGGTGTGTGCGTGCTGGATGATGGGTGGGTGTGTGCGTGCTGGATGATGGGTGGGTGTGTGCGTGCTGGATGATGGGTGTGTGTGCTGGATGATGGGTGTGTGTGTGTGCTGGATGATAGGTGTGTGTGTGTGCTGGATGATGGGTGTGTGTGTGTGTGCTGGATGATGTGTGTGTGTGTGTGTGTGTGGATGATGTGTGTGTGTGTGTGCTGGATGATGGGTGTGTGTGTGTGTGTGCTGGATGATGGGTGTGTGTGTGTGTGTGCTGGATGATGATGGGTGTGTCGTGCTGGATGATGTGTGTGTGTGTGCTGGATGGTGGGTGCATGTGCTGGATGATGTGTGTGTAGGTGCTGGGTGATGGGTGTGTGTGTGCTGGATTGATGGGTGTGTGTGTGTGCTTTGGTGTGGGTGTGACGTGCTGGATGATGGGTGTGTGTGTGTGCTGGATGATGGAATTGTGTGAGTGCTGGATGATGTGTGTGTGTGAGTGCTGGATGATGTGTGTGTGTGCTGGATGATGGGTGTGGTTGGTGGGTGTGGATGGTGGGTGTGTGTGAGTGCTGGATGATGGGTGTGTGTGAGTGCTGGATGATGTGTGTGTGAGTGCTGGATGATGTGTGTGTGAGTGCTGGATGATGTGTGTGTGAGTGTTGGATGATGGGTGTGTGAGTGCTGGATGATGGGTGTGTGAGTGCTGGATGATGGGTGTGTGAGTGCTGGATGATGGGTGTGTGTGTGCTGGATGATGGGTGTGAGAGTGCTGGATGATGGGTGTGTGAGTGTGGGATGATGTGTGTGTGAGTGCTGGATGATGTGTGTGTGTGTGTGTGCTGGATGATGGGTGTTGGGGAGGGGGGAAGCATTTTTTTCTTTATTTGTGTTTAATATTTATTTTATTCCCCCCTCCCTGCTTCTTACCTTGTCAGGGAGGGGGGAGATCGCCTGGTGGTCCGGTGGTATGCTGGAGGGAGCCAGCCGCTGCACAGTGGGGCCATCACACGCAGTGTTCCTTCTCCAGCTCTAACTCTCGCGAGACTCGCCTGTGCGGAGCGTTGCCATGGTAACAGCCGCGGGTCTCGCGAGAGTTATAGCTGGAGAGGGAACACAGCGTGTGATGGCCCCTCAGTGCAGGTAGCAGGGCCGGTCCTGCAGGACAGGTAACGGGAACGGCGTTCCAGCTATGGAAAAAGTGCAGGAACGCCGTTCCCATGCGTTCCTGCAGGACTCGAGCCCTGCTGTAACACATTTCTAATTAATTTATGCTTGTTTGTTTTTATTTGTTTTTAAGTATGGACAGTCGCAAATGGATGGATTTGGATGGTTCCTGGGTGTATAGTACGGCCCCCAGGAAACACCCTGAAAGTTATCTGGGGTACAACACTCTCCCTGGGAGAAAATTCAAAGATATTGTGAGAAGGCCAGCAGATGAGAGAGGGATGTATGGCACAATCCCAGGAAGGTAAGAGTTGATAGAGGTTATTGTATCTGTATCTTCTGTTGTTTTTGTGGTAACCATAAGTTGATTTACAATGGTCATGTCATGAAAGGTTCCTAAATTCCCCCTACAAATATGAGATGTGCTTGTTCTGTGATGCAGAGCAGGAGAACCACCCTAAGGAGGGCGCTAAACCCACTGACATCAAGGTGAAGGGCAAAAAAGTATTAGGTGTAATTTTTTTAGAGAGCTCTACCAATCCATCTCTATTTTGTCCTTTAAAAAAAAAAAAAAAAAAAATCTTTCCTTTAAAGGAACACTCCAAACATTTAGTTCACTATAATGGTTTTAGTACCAGGAGTGCCCCGGTGACCCCTCAATGAATGGTTCGGCTTCATACCTGGGGTCCATAAGCAGCTGCTCTCAGTCTCACCTACTAATGTGAGACGGCTTTTTAGTTTCTAAGCAGGCAAGTTTGTTAGCTCATTGGCTGAGCTCATCATATGATTGCTCTGGTTACGGTGCTTAGAGTGTTCCTTTAAATCCATTGGTAATCTACTCATTGCTGTTTCTTGTTCCAACCCATCTCATGTCATGATGGATTTTCATATAATTTTGAATACTCTCTCTGTATGGTTCCAATTACAACGGATATTTTTTTTAAAAATTCTTTATTTTTGGTATGCAGGTAGGTACAACAGTGCCTGTATCGCCACAACAGCATCAACAGGCTCAATTATCATAGTTATAACAGTTGCGTGGCATGTTAAGTTTGCATACATTTTTTTTTTTAAATAAAGTAAGTAATGGTAGAGTAAACAAGCTGTTATCAATATAGCTCTAGGCTCAACAACAAATTTTGTTCCTTTCTAGGCATTCATGACATTCCTAGGTACTTACAGGGTTAATAATATGTTGAGTGATTTAACAGTTATTTTTCAAGTTATGACAACAGCATTCTCATTTTAGGGTTATGTAGTCGCTATGAAACAGGATGGCAAGTTAATGACACTTATACTGTAGGTACCCATATCGAAGTAAGCTTGTAGTGAGTAACTTGTACGAGGTTCTGATATATGTGAACTAGTTAAAACATAATAAAGATTAATCATTACGTTAGCTCCGGTTAGGTCACTGAGGTGAACTAAATAGATATGGCTGTAAGTCCTGAGGGGGGACATGGGTACTTCGCTCGAGGGCACACGGCACGGTCAGCCAATGCCTCGGCTCGGCAGAGCCATACCGTCCCTGGAGGATCCCGATTTCTTCTGGGTGTGTCTCTGTGGCAGATCAAGCTGTGGTTTTCGTCTGGCTGCTCGTTTGGAGTCTATGCAGCGTCTGGAAGGTGGAGTGCCCCTTCGGCCCTGGAGCTGTGTGAGGGCTGGTACTGTCTGACCACGAGCCTGGAGTCCTGTAGGGTCCAGGGACTCCCCTGTTGGGGTGGTGCGTCGGGCCTTCTGTGGGTCAGGTGTGTTGTCGCGTTTTCTTTGCGGCCCTCCGCTTGTGTGGCCTGTACCTGTGGGTCTGGACCCGTAATGCCCATAGCCCAGGCAGGCGTCTCGTGCCAGGTGCAAGTGTGAGGTACATTGTTATGCCTTTCAGAGGATTCCCAGGCCTCCCTGTGCTGCAGGTTTGATCTGTAAGTGGTGTTTGCTTAGAAGCCGCTGGTTGCGTGCGGGCCTGGAGCCGAGCCCAGAATCTATCAAAAATAGCATTGAGTGAGTCTCTTGTATTGAGATCGGGGCTAGTCACTTCAGGCTGCAGCATTCGCATGCCGCGTGTATCTGAGTCCGCTGAGACCGCCATCTTGGAGAGCTTCTCCTCCGTTCTGTCTGTGATCACTGTCGACCCCCTTGATAGGTACACTGCGGAGCTATCTTTCTTTCGGCGGGGACCGGGATATCCGGGGGGGGGGGGAAGGTTAGTTCTTGCTTACTGTTTGGAGCAGCGGGCGGGAAGCGGCCGTCCTCCCACCCTACCATCTCCTGTAGGCCTCAGCCCGCTGTCACGGTTCCCGGGTGTTCCAGGTGTCAAGTTTGGTATCCGCGGATATGCGCTGGCTTCCCCAGTCTGTAGGGCTTTTTTAGGAAGGAGTCCCAGCACTGTGATCCAAGTTATTACGCTTTTAGTGTCCGTGCAGCAGGAGCTCGTGCAAAGCATGTCTTGCTTGCTTGCTGGTCAGGCTCCGCCCCTACAACGGATATTTTAATATAGTAATATTGTTCTCTATGTTCTTTCATAATGACACTATTAAGTCCAGTGAAAGGGCACTCACTTGACTTCTTTTTAAAATGTAAATGCCTGCATCTATCTATCTATCTATCTATCTAGTTCCTCTTTAAATCTCTTTGGCTGTAACATCTGCTTATTCACACAAAAATGTATTGATCACCCCTGGATCTGGCTATCGCACTCTCCTATTCTTGTCATGGGGAGGAATATGGCTTAAAGTCATAACACACAGTTTATGATAGTTGCTTCATTTTATTGCTCCTCTGAAAGATCACATTAAGCAGATCTTTAAAAATTTAATTTGCTTTGTTCTTTTTGAAGCAAGTTAAAAACAAACGCATTTCTTTCTTGGGCCGAGAGTGAAATGAAAACACTCAGACATATACTACATCACTATTTTTCAGGAGAAAAGACAAACCTGCGTAACGAAAGGTGAGCTTTATTATATAGAACTCTCTTAGAAAAGCGAGTGAGCGTAACAGATTACCCTTTTTATAAAGTAAATTCCTGACATGTGTATCTTCTGGGAAAGCACCTATAAAAAATATATTATGTATTTATTTTATAGTCCAGGTTTTTTCATTTTAGACACCAGTTTGGAGTCTCAGGCTTTATAATATCATTGTAGGTTACAGGAGTCAGCCTCAGAGCATGTGACTTTATGTCAGAATCTGGACATTCACTTTGCATTTGGGGTAAAAGTCTAAAGCTTCCCCATTACAGAGCTTTAGGCTTCAAGCTTACAATGTAATATATTGTTTAATAAATCTAATCTGAATAGATTTACCAGCTTAGTACAATATTGTTTTTGTAATGTCTGGCAAACTTATTTCTAAAGGAACTTTTGTTTTAAGGTGTAGTATCTGTTTTTGATTTAAAGGGTTAACCCAACCATCATCTTCACTACAGCCCACTGTAGTCATTATGACAATAGGAGTACCCTGGCGACATTCTCAGCAATGGGGAAACCCATTGGACAATGATTTGCCCTATTACCTGGGTCCTGTCTGGGACCTGATCTCCTCTTCTCCAGGCTTATGACATCTGGCTTCGAGCTGCATTGATAGAGTGTTTCCCATATTGATTTGTGTCTTATTATGCATATTTATTTTAATGGAACACTGTAAGCACCATAACCACTATAGCCCACTGTAGCAGTTCTGATGCCAGGAGTGTCCTGGAGCTTTCTCAGTGTAAGAGAACCTCCAGGCCCTCTTGCATGCCATCCTCCAACCTGCATCCTACTTGATCTGTAGGCAAGACTCGCCGCCCTGAATTTCCACATTACAATAAAAAAAAAATGATATTTTGCATAATTTGCATCATATTTTTATAGTGAAGGGTAAAAGCATAACTTATATGGACTGACTTTCCTGCTAAGGTACCAACATATTTCTTGCTTTATTTTCCACTGATAAGAAAGTTAATGTATTTTTATATGTTCACATTTCTGTCTCTATAAAGTCTGCAATTTTTTTAAATGTATTTTTAGGTTTGTTGATAGAGCACCCATGGGAGAACAAACACCATACAAGCTACGGTCCTTCTCTAGACTTCCCCACAGCCCTATACTGCAGGATTCTACAAACTGGCCTGCATCGCTGCCACCAGGAGCAAGAGGTCCTAAACTGTTTAGAATGGAACAAAAAAATGAGGCAAACGAAAGAGATGGTGGGAAATATGATGGAAGGATATATGAACGAGTGAGACATTCAGATGATCTAGAAAGGAAAAAACGCAAGTTGCTCAGGGAAGCAGAGGCAGAAATAGTAAATGTCTCATCGGATAAGCATAGACGAAAAGGAAAGCCCATGGAATGGGGTATAATAAATGAGCAGCCTGACTATTCACGCTACCAAAAGATGAAAATGACACAGTGTGATGATTGGGAACCTTTATCTTTGCCATCAAAAGCATTGCAGGTTCAATCCACTTCACATTTAACAAAACTATCTTTAAGTAAGCCACACTTACACAAAGAAAAGGCAACAGAGACAAAGGCCCCAGATCAAGAAAAGAGAAGGTGGTGGTTCAAGAGTCAAAAACAACAAAAAACAGTATCTGATGTAATGGCTATGGGTAATAATCAAGATGAATCTTACAAAAGATGTGTGGAACAGTGCTCTGTACCAAACTATAATAGTCATACACTGCAAGGTTCAAAGGAAAATCATCCTAAACTCAGGAAAAGGAAGGGGCCCCCACCTTATGTCCCACCTCCTTCTTACAACGCACCACATCATACCTTCCCCATCATCAAAGATGAGCATATTCACACTGAACAAATGTCTGCGGGTGAAATTATACCATTAACTGACAAAGACAATGGCAAACTAGATGGAGAGAAAGTAGCAAGATACACAATGGAACATCAGGTGGATTCTAATTTTACCTTTCCATCTTTTAACAATGTGAACAGAGGACAAGAAGAGAAAAAGCATAAATCTGCACAGATTTATCAAAAGAGTATTTGGGATCGAACACTTCCACAGCTATATAGCACTTGGGGAGGAGAACGTTCTAAGTGGAACCTGAACCAAATTTCCTCAAATTATGAAGAATTCATTGACCACATATATGAAACTGTTGATAGAGGAAGTTCTCCACTCAATCATAATGTGCCTGGGGAAAAGACTTATGGGACATTATACAATACTCGACAGATAGAACTGTCAACGAAATACACTTTGCCAAGAAGTGGAATCAATGATGTAACAAAAACTACCAAGAAAAATAAGATTGTTACAAACTGTGAACCTCAAAAAATGGCACTTTTTGATGTTCACCGCCCACCAATCCGGTCACATGGAGTAAAATTGCCACATGAATTAGGTTTTAGCTATACTAGTGGAAAACCCCACTACACAGATAAAAAGCTGAGGTCGGAGTATAGAAGTTATCACAATCTACAAGAAGAGGACACTGTGAAAGAGAGACAAAGACCATTAAGAGTTATTTCTAAAAAGCGAACTGGTCAAAGTCACATTAATTCCTTTCCTAGTAAAGAGGAATATTCTAGGTATAGCCAAACTCTGCCTGTGAAAAAAGACCCATATTTGCATATAAAAGCTGATATGCAGGAAAGAATACCAACAGTTCACTCCCGCAAACATAGGAATATTAATGAGGATATAGCCTTTCCAAAATGGAGAGAACCAGGGAAATTTAGTACAATACCAGGCAGGGGACACGATCATATTCTCTATAGGCCACATGATGGCTTGCATAGGAGTGTGAAATATGACCTTCCAGATCCTTCTGAAACAAATAATTGGGGCACTCCTAGAAAAGGTCAGTTAAAAGAAGCTACTTCTGAGAAAACACAGCCACCTCTATTGAAAGAAAATGAGGGTATGTTTGTCATTGATGCAACCTGTGTGGTTGTTAAAGCAGAGTATATTTTTCCACCAAGGACAGAGCAAGTTAAGTTTTTAAGTTACCCAGAGGTTTCTCCTGGTCTAATGGAGAGGGATATTCAGTCTAATAGGAAAATATATTTTGGTTCCACTGAGCTAAAGTCTAACTTGAATTATATAAAACATTTATCTCCTCCAAGCCAAAAAGCTGAATCCACATCTGAACATTTTAACCACCAGTCCCATGAACGGGATATTCCCAATCTGAAAGAAAGAGCAATGCGAATCTTGGGACTTTCTATGGTAGATTTGGAGTCATTGAATGAAGATCACACTCTACATAGAACGAATAAAATGGTAGAACAGGAAGCCGAGTTACTAAATAAAACATTACGTGAGAGTAATAAGAATGGTGGACATAAACATGATACATGTACAGGAGCATCAAACAGTATGACTGTAGATGTTAAGGATTCTACATATAAATCTTCATGCTCAGTTGAGGAGGATGAACATCAGCCAAAATTTAATGAAACGTCTTTGGATAGTAATTTAATTGAAGAAAATCGTCAAATGGAGTCCGAGCAAAATATAGCAACTTGCTCCACAGAAAGTAACTGCAAGGAAAGTGATCATGCAACCTCCAACCTTGTGCCATATGGTTTAGAAACAAACAAATCAATTGAAATGGAGCCATGTAGAAAATGTGAATCTGTACTAAATCAAAATGACATTACATTGTTTGAGATGGAAGTGGAGACACTTCAGGAAAAAGATAATTGCCCAGAGATGTTTGAATCTCCATGCCAAGATGATGTTTCTGGTTGTTTGGATCTCCAGGTGTCTATAAATCGACAATCCTTGGACAATACAAATTCTAATGATTCAGTTGAAAATATTCTTAAAACAGTTGAAAGACCAGAACAAAATATCTGCGGATTGAAAGACGTTGATGAAACATTCACAAAGACTTGTGTTTTGAATGGAAATAACTGTGAAAATAGTGAGAAGGTAAACCCTAAAAAATATGCAGAGCATAGTAAAAAAACACCATATGTTACTGTAAGTCCTCAGCCAGTTAGTCCTTGCGTGAAGCATGATAGCCAGTTAACTAGTGAAATGAAGAACCATCTTTCAGATCAGACATACTCTCCAAGGACTCCCGTAAAAACATTTACAAAAAGACATAATTACTTTGCAAAGGATCTTCGTGAGGCTGTCTCACGCATAAGGCGCCACACTGCCCCTGATTCTGACACAGATGAAGATTTAGAGAAGCCTTTGCATGACTCTTGTTCAGAAATATCTGAAGACCACGTGGGTGAGGAAGGAATTGTATCTTGCAGTTCAGACACGTCTGACTCAGAGGTCACTGTAATACTACGTGTAGCTGACAAAGTAGAGTTGGTATCAGAGATAAACACAAATGACTCTCAAGATTTTGCAGAAACTGAAGGTAGTTTAAATGGTTTAAATGTAACTAAAGAGGACACTATGCTTTTAGATTCGACTAAAGGAGATTTTAGTGCTGACGTGATTGGTAATACGTCTGACAATGACCTGATCCATGAAAAACAACAGGAAAGTAAATGCATGGATCTTAATAGTTGCATTGAGGAGATACTTCAAGATCTGAACAGAACTGAAGAAGAATTTTTCCCATCAAGTTCTGATTATTGTACTACGGATGTGACTACTGCTTCTCTGGAACATTTAGCAGGTAATGAATTTTGACTTGCATAAGGGAGTTATTAGGAATAAACAAGAAAAAATTTATAAGCATCATGCAAAAGGGAGTGGTGAACATTACATAATAAACAATCGGGCATAAGAGAGAATTATGGCTTATAAACTATGAAATCACTGATTGCTTACATGCTCGATGAATATCTTTGTCAGTCATTAGCAATAACATTTGGAAGTATATTTTGAAATAACAAAAAAAAAAGCTTTGTAATTAACATCTTACTTTCGCAATTAGACACAATATTTTATCAGTGGACATACAGAGTTCTAATTCACCAGAACACATAAATTGCACATAATGATTGTACTAGTCACAATATGGATGTTGTGCTAATATAATCAATGTGAACATATAATTTGAGAAAAATAAACATGGGAATGCATTGGATTGGCTACAAATCGGCAATTTTGATGATATCACCAAGTTGGCGGGACCAGGGCTGACAGACCCGTGGAGAGCTGAAAATAATATGAGTTTTAACCCATTCTGAGGGGGCTAAAGGGGGGTGGGGGTCAGGAATATAGGTTTGTGTGGACGTATTACCGTTTGTGTACATAACTGTATCTTTTACTAATGAATTAAATAAATTAGCTTACATTTGCATTTTGATATCTTGTTTCAGAATAATTGGAGAAGTTGGTCTGGCAGCAAGCAATAACACCCTCTGGTGATACAGAAAGTGGACTGCTTCTTCTAACCTAATTGAGTTTGGGTGTTGAGTGATTTTTTTTTTGGGGTGCAATACTACATGGGAGGATATCCGATCTCAAATGACAAAATACAATACCTATATATTATGAGTTATTAATATTTTTATTGGAAATAATTCTGTCCGCCTTAATGGGTAGAATTACCTGCAACCACTAGCAATTTTTTTCCATTAATATTTTTTTGTTTTGTACTTTGAATTGTCAAAATACAGATTTATGTGAATCGTTTTTGTGTTTAGACATTCAGTTAGTTCATGCTCAACCACTCTGTAATTTGTACTATGTGTATGGTATTTCTGTGTATTTCTAAAAAAAAAAATTAAAAAAAAAATTAACAAAATATATTCACACACACATATCTATTTATTGTTTTTCATGACAAGTTAGCTGTTTAGAGAGGTTTCTTCATTATACACAACTTTTACAGGAAAACTTTAATTACAAATAGTAAAACCAGCAGAAATAAATGTATGTTTCTGGTATTAGTTCAATGTCCAAGGTATTTTTTTAATTTTATTTTTTATATTTTGCTATTTAATGAAATCTAATTAATTTGTATACATGGAAAGTATACTATATATGATATATTTAAGTTTTGTTGTTGTTTTTAAATTTCATCTTTCTATATAAGAGGCACTTATCACATTTGCTGTTTTGCAGTGGTCTCTATTTTCCCATTAAAATATATCTTTTATTAACCAGTTGTATTCTCAAAAAGATTTATTTCTCATATGTCAGAAGTTTATAAATATTTATCTAACTGCTATAAATGGAAAAGTATTGTTTTTACTGGATATAGGTGGCCATCTATATTACGGCCCACATACAGTGACTATGAAATAATTTGTAAAGCATATTTAGCATTTAACATACATTTTTTTTTTTTTTTTTTAATTCTTTATTTTTGAGTGCATGGATAGACAAAACAGCTTACTCTGCCACAACAGCGTTAGTAAGCATAGACATATCGTATTGATGTTCCATTTATGGCATTTGAGCAGTGCACATTTTTGTATATAGATGCATGAACAGAACATATATTTATATTGGTTAGGCATTACATTTAAATTTACTAGTTTAATCTACGCTTTATATGAAGAGTATGCATGCTAATCAAGTACAGTGCTTGCAAGTTAACTGTGGGAAACATAAAGTGAGGGCATTGCTAGATATGCTAGGTTATGATATAGGCCCCTGAAGTCTAATCCGCTGTGTTGCCGGTACCTGGCTAGTTTGACTGTATAGATAAGCATATCACTTATAAGTTACTCAACACAAGTTAAGGTCGCATTAGGTGGGCGACATAGTTCAACATGAAAGGATATGGCATACGATTAATATTCGGGCTATTCTACGCTGTAAAAACATGTTATAACATTGCTAACGTTCGTCTGTTTCAGGGAGGTCAGGCTTGAAAATATTGCGAGACATAGTCCTCTATAACTGCATGGATGTGGTGGCATGACAGCAGTCCCGGCTGCAGTGCGGCAGTGAGAGTCAGTGAAAGTCAGCCTACTCCTGTAGTCGGCACTTGCAGGGCACATACTGGAAAGTCCCATGGGGCCTTGGCGTCGCCAATCATGGAAGCTAGAGGGACTCCGCCGTTGCCTCCCGGTCCTGTGTGAGTGCCTTGGGTGGTGGGGGTGTATGCTTTGTGGTGTGACAGTTTCTCTGCTCCCCATGCTGTTTGGCGAGTGTGAGACTCTGTGTGTCCCCTTGATGTGGAGGTAAAGCCCTTCAGAGTGCTGTTTGCAGCTGTGTATCGCTGCACTTGGGTAGAGTGTTGACAGGCTTTTTTGACTTCGCCTGGTGTAGGCCGGGTATAGGCCCCTTGAGTGCGCCATTTTAGTTTGTGGAGTGGCGGGCTGCGTTTGGTGGCTCTCCGAGCCTGTCGGGACTCAGGCTTGCAGTATCGGGTGCTCGGTCTGCTGCCTTTAAGTCTGGGTAGAGCTTTTGTTACCTTCTGCAGCTTCGTGTTGGTTGGTGGTGTAGCTATGCGTTTCAGCGCTGGTACTCTTGCAGGAGAGGTAGCGGGCAGTTGGGGTACCGCTGTGGCTGCTTGGTTTTGTGCCAGTATGGCCTGCCACCGTGTCCAGAAGAGGCCGAATGCTGCCGCTATGCGGTCCTCCTGAGGGTTCACGCTTGCCAGCTGCGCTGAGAGAGGTTGGACAAGTGGGGGCCTAGAAGCTCGGTCGGCAGCCACCATCTTGGCCTCTGGGTATGTGCTGCTTGCAGTCCTGGGAGCTTGTCTTAACATACATTTTGATATTCATAATATTTTTACAAAATGACAATGCTACTGTCTTTATTGACTGATACAAGCTCAAACTTTGAATTCACCAGAATATTTTTTAATTTTTTTTTAAGAGTTGCTTGTCACTTTTAATTTGTACCATTGTTTGTTTGTGCAGAGCAGGAGAGGTCTTACATTCATATAGAGACAGTATGTCATATACACAAGTATTAAAATAGTGTGTCAATGTGTGTCCAGAGGTACTGCAGTATTTTTCCCCCCAGAAATATCATCACAGAAAAATATATGAAACATAAACAATGTTGATTAGGAAAGCAGTTAGTCGAGACATGTGGAGAAAAAAAAATCACAACTGCAAGATGTATATAAACAAGGAATTCTAATTTGTTTGTGATGTCCTCACTTTGTGCTGGAGAGTGGTCTTAGATTCAATGGGGTGGGTCGAAATGATGAGTCCTAACTGTGTACTATGGCAGAGAAAGTAAACTTCTAACCTCGTAGCTACTAAGGAGCAGTATCATGTTAGGAGCGCACCCATTAGGCCTTCCGTGTGTGAGGATGTGTATATCGGATTTAGGGATTATATCCCCTGTCCTTAAACCCAAAGTGAGTCGTTACCCCTAGCCAAGGCAGCAAGGCGAGGGGGGATGTATGCAAATTCATGGCAGATAGCACTTTGTGTGGCTTAAAACCACAGGGTCGCTTTGAACCCATGTCCATCTGTGAAGCTAAAATGTGTATTATAATCTAAGAGAAAAGAAAGGATAAGTGTGTACAAAAGAAAATCAAACTGTGAACATAAACATTACATACCATTGCCTGAATAAAGCTTTGTCCCAAGTTATGGCATGTTCAACTTCCTGAATCAGAAGCACAATCTGTTTCCGGGATGAAAGGGACTATATTGGAGGAGGGGTCCCAATTTGGGGTGCTCTTGTGACTTGGGGGCACCCTAGGTCCCAGTGTCCCTAAAAGAGATGGAGTTTTGTGAGGAGAGAATATTTTTAGGACAGTTCCATTTTGTGTGACAGATAAGAATCTTGTTGCTATCCAGTGGTAAGGTATACTAACCTCCTGGAGTTGGCTTGTAAGAGTGCGCTGGGACCTCTGCCATTGGAAGGTAGCTCTAGTGAGGTCTTGAAAGATGATGATTTGCGCAGATTTGAATGTGTACGGTGTCTTGCCTTGTAAAGCCTTCATAATGTGTAATTTACCAGAATATGTTGCTGAATGTGTCATTTCCAAAATGGATGTTGTGCCATATTTAGCATTTTGTGAAGGGCAATAGGGTATCATTAACTAAATATCAATGTGACGAGACCAATCTCACCACTGTGCATTGGAGGAGCCTGGTTGCCCGCCTGCTGCCTTTAGACTATGGCCCCATGTTGAAACGTTTGATTTTCCCCTGCAAAGACACGAAAGACGGGTCATTCAGTACTTGCCCTATTTGAACATGGCAGATAGCTATGCCATGGAGCCCATTCGTATAACAAAAGACTATGTGAAAGACTTTGGCTCTATGGCAATTGAACTGTATGCATGTGATCTGAGCGCCATTCAGTAATAATGTGCGCTCAGATCTAAGCTATCTGGGGATATGTTGAATGTACCTGTTTTATGCAATAGCTGTACAGTTATATATTTTTATGTATTTTATTGTCTTTTGCTACCATGTGTTCAATGGAGTTTTGCCTCTGTCCTTGGAGATAATTGGATTACTTCCCAATTATCTCCAGGATAGAGGACTCTGTGGAACTGGTTTGGGCTGGAAAAGCCATGCTTCAGTGGTCACAAAGGACTTTCGACCTAACTTTTGAACCACTGGACCAATTTGAATGATTTTTGAGTATATTTATATTTGAAGGACGCTGATTTCAAATATGTAACTTTTATTAATATTGCATGCATACTTTTAAAGTTATAAGAATTGTGTAAAAACTGTATTTTCTGCCTGTGCTAATTAAATTAGTCTATTGTTTTAAGATAATTGTATCACAGGCAGAGGGGAGGATTTCTGCTGGGAGTGGTTTACTTTATTGTATGTGTTGTAATGTTTTTATTGGTTGTTCTGAAAAACCCTGTGGGCGGTCCTGTATGTGTTAAACCTGCATAAAAGAAGGCCCTTTGGTGCCAAGTAAAACAGAGTTCTACTTCACCCTCAGTTTGGAGTGCCATCTCTTATTGGGGGAATCTGCTATGCTTGTCATACTCCCTTGCTAAATCACTACTAAGCTCTTGTAAGAGCTTGATCCTGCCTTGCTCTCTGGAGGAGTCTACGGTGGTTATGGTGTCTGCTGCAGTGCTTGGAGTCCTCAGGAAGCGCTAGGAGCATCCTTCAACGGAGGTACCCAGTCGGGGTGCCAGGTGATCTGTTACAATCAAATAATTTGTTCACAGATTTATTTTTGTGAGCGAAAGCTATTCATGGCATTTAATATAAAAACATTAATTGACAATGAAGTCAAAGCAGTGATATTGAATACTGTGCTTGATCTGGATGGAACTGGAGAGAGAGAGAGCCATTGTCCAGCTCTGGGGTATTTCTAAGAGTTCATCATTTCTCTAAACCTACCTTACACCTCTGGCCATCACAGACACCAAAATTGCCTTAAATGTCCCATATTGCTATTGATAGGCAAGCTGCAAAAGCTCAAGATTGATTTGGGCTTAGAGTTTTTTTTACTGTAAGATCAATAAGGATGTGGAATTCTCTGCCTGAGGAAGTGGTTTTATCAGAGTCCATACAGATGTTCAAACAGCTACTAGATGCATACTTGCAAAAACAGAAAATTCGAGGATATAATTTTTCAATGTAGGGTAATAACTGCTTAATCCAAGGATAAATCTGACTGCCATTCAGGGGTCAAGATGGCATTTTTTTCCTAGCTTGTTGCAAAATTGTGCTTCAAACTGGGTTTTTTGCCTTCTTTTGGATCAACAGCAAAAAACAAATGTAAAGAAGGCTGAACTTGATGGACACAAGTCTCTTTTCAACTATGTAACCTTATTTCCAGTGCTGCGCGGGTCTGCCGGTGCTGGCTCCGCCCCCTTTGTGACATCATCAAAATGGCCGCTTTTTAGCCAATCCAATGCTTTTCCGTTGGGAAAGCATTGGATTGGCTAAAATTGGCATTGGGACGGGGCCAAATGCTGTTTTGGCCAATCAGGACCTTCTCATAGAGATGCGTTGAACCAATGCATCTCTATAAGGAAAATTCAACATCTCCATGCAGAGCGTGGGGACGCTGAACGTCAGGGCTGCTTTTTCTCTTTCTTACTATTACCTATAATTTCGCTTATAGGTTCTCCTTCTGCCTATAATTCCGCTTATAGGTTCTCCTTCTTCCTTCTACCTATAATTTTGCTTATAGATTTTCCTGTTTTATAACCCTCATTATACTTACCTGTAATCTCGTTTATAGCTTCTGATTTCCCTTTAAGTCTTGCTACACTTATTATTTTAAGCCAAAACATGTAAAAGATTTCCAATAAAGAACCTAAAGTCAACCCCGGAATAAGTCTCTTATCTGACTCTGATGCAGCTTCTGCGGATCCCAGGAGTTAGGTGAAAATATGCAGACCTCCCAGGATATGGATAGGAAGGCTCTGCAGCAGATATGTATCCAGTACTATAAACAAGGCAAGACTAGAACAGGCACCAAACAAGATAACAATACTAGACTAGATGAACCCAGAACCGGAGCAGGACAGAAAGCAGAGTCCAGAACATGTACATAAGACATGAGGGTAACCAGAACAAGGTATGAATGGGACAGGACTGTACAAAACAAGAGGAGACATAACTAAGTACTAAATATGTAAAACATTGGAGATTTAGAAATACATAAATGGCCAAGATGTATGCAGCCCACCACCAGTGGCGTCTCTAGGATTCATTTTTAGGGTGTGGGCACATGGTGGGCCAGGGACAAAAGTAGGGGGGCACATTTAACCCCACCCTTGCCGCAGTTTGACCTCGCCCCTGCCGCATGTTAAGCCCCACCCCCGACACAATGTGTTGTTTTTGTTTTTTTAATAATCCCTGGTGGAGGATTCCCTTGATACAGTGCCATAGTTGCCAACATTTGAAAAGAAATTCCAAGGACATTTTGCAGCACAGCTATCAATTATTGTCTGTGTATAATATCCCTGGACAGTCAGTGCTCTCTGTATAATACAGGGTTGTGTGTATAATAAATTGGGACAGCGCTCCCTGTACAGTGCTGCTCTCTGTATAATACATGGTTGTGTGTATAATATCCCGGAACAGCCAGTGCTCCCTGTATAGTTCTGCTCTCTGTATAATACAGGTATGTTTGTGTATAATATCCCAAGACAGAGAGCAGCACTATACAGGGAACACTGACTGTTCCAGGATATTATACAGACACAGACCTGTATTAAACAAAGAGCTGCACTATACAGGAAGCACTGACTATCCCAGGATATTATACACACACAGATCTGTATTATACAGAGAACAGCACTATAGTATTATACAGATAGCTGAGCATATACCCTTATGTCCCAATCTCTAGACTACTAGTACATGTCAACAGCAGCTCCCAGACGCATGTAACAGGGCTAAAGTGTGCGGCAGCTCACACAGATGATTCAGCGGTAAAGCGCACTCGCTGGCAGAGCCAAACTGGGAATCCAAAGCAGCCCTGGAAAAAAATGTATGCCATTCCTACAAGTCAATATATATATATATATATATATATATATATATATATATATATATATAGTTAATACAATGTTAAACAAAAATCTGAACACCAGTCAAGCCATAAGACTTGCTTTTCCCACTGAAATCCCAAATCTGCAGTGATGTTACAACCGCAAAGGATTCTGGGTGGGCATATGCAAATTAGTTTAACAAAGAATCACATTTTTGCCTCATTCCATTTTAAACATGGATTCCTTTTAATCTGTGTTTGCAGTATACA